CCCCCCCCATGAAATGGTCCAAAAAGTGTTCCCAAAAAAGGTCCAAAGAATAATCCAGTGCATAGTTTACCAGTGCCCTGCTCTAGTAGTCCGCCATGTTTGCATTCGGTGTATGATTTGTTACTGCTTTAAAAAAATAGATATCTTGATTTGCATGATAATAAATCAAATTTGTCAATAGCAGTTGCCTCATGGAAATCACTCATCGTTATAAAAAAACTTTTCATTTGCGACTTGCACCACCCCTCTCAGCTTCATCATGCAGTACCGAGAAAAAAGCTTAGTATGTGTTGATGAAAAGTGATTTCACTATGATGTTAAAATGAATAAAGCTTACGTTTGCATCTGCTCCGTCCATTTCCATCGAAACCCAATCTACATTTGCAGTTATAACTCTTTTTCGTATTCAGACATTTGGCCCATTTGTGACATTTGTGGATGCCAAGTTCGCATTCGTCGGCCGGTTTACAAGATTTAAAATTAGCTCCGTAGTATCCTTTTTTACATTTACATTTGAATCCACCAAGATGACTCACGCAGACAGAGTGTTTGTAGCTTTCGCACAATCGCTGTTGACATCGAATAACAAACTGAGCTCATTACCGGGCGGGAGGTACGTATGGGAAAAAAACTGAGCGCGGCCTGAGACCGAAGGCTGAAAGCGTTACACAAGACTAACGGCCCCCAGTTTTTTTTTTTTTTTTTCTTTTCATACAGACGGACCTGGAAAGGTAAAAGTATTTTTTGGCTGGTGGTTTGTTTGTTTTCCGCTTTGCTGCGAACGGTGCGAATATCGCACCGTGGTTCGCATTGTAAAAAGTTACAAGGGTTACAAGCACTATAAGCCAATCGGATTCGAGGATTTAACCTGGCCCCGCCCCAGCTTCCGCGCAAAGGTTTTATAGGAAAACATAAGAAACAACAGATGTCTCACAAAATCAGTCAAAGAACATTGAAACTTTCATAGAAATCTGTAACAGGAAATAAAACTATGGGAAAGGAACATTCGAGACTTTTGAACACAGAGCTTATTCAAATACGAGTATCCTGTTGTATTTCCATTCTTTCTCGAGCTTTGCCAAAAAATTTATACGCTTCTTAAACACCGTGACTTAATGATTTGTGTGATTGCTGATAACTTTTGGTTCTGACAGCCTGAAAGCACGCTGCCTAGTCATTACGACGTTCGCACTCGTGCAAACGTTTGAATGCTGTGTGGGCCTTGATGAACAGTTCTAGAATGTAAGTTATCAGACTCGTACCTTGTTAGCAGCAACTTTGCACTCATCTTTGAAGTCACATTTTTTCTTGCCGTCACCCACGTATCCGTACCGGCAGCGACAAGAGAAACTCCCTTGAGTGTTGTCGCATTGCGCATTCTTATGACATAATCCTTTCGCGCATTCATCGATGTCGCGACAATTTTCTCTGCGGGGGTCTTTACTCGAGAAACCCGTGCGGCATGAGCACTTGTAAAACTTTGGGATATCTTTGCAGACGGTATTCCGTGCACATGCCGCAAAACCAGTCGTACAGATCGCATTCACTCCTAACAAAAAAGGTAAGCAGTGTATTAGAATATGTCACGACGGAAAATTTTCCACATCACACAAAACTCTTTTTGGGGGAGAGTTGGGGTAGGTCATTTTGACATCGAACTGGCACAACATTCTCTTGAAACATCTTCCACTAAAACAAAATGGGCAAGAAGAGAAAAAATAAGAACCAGAAATTTGACATTTTGAAACTGAGAGAGAATGTCGCGTATCAGTAGTGAACAACTCGTCAAAGTCTTTCAAAAAGTCTCTGGGCGGAAGTTCTGTTTAAGTACAGGAGTATACGAGAGACAAGGCAATAACCACGAAATGTAACGGTTTGAACTTAAGCATGTAGTACTTGACAAGCAGAGAAACGTTGCACACGCAAGAAAAAAAACTGTTAGAAACTGTTGTATTCTGGCTATGGAACTCAGATACCTTTACAACCTACTACGGGATGCCGATAAATCAATTGGCTTGGACACACTATATTTCTTCTCACGTCAGGACGTCTGCTGTCATCACAATTAAGTACTATGCACTTATCTGGAAAATCTAAAAACACACAAATGTTATAAACTTAATTATTCTATCCAAAAAAAATTGAGGAAATATTTAGTATCATACCGAGGCTTAATTATGAACTTTCAAAGAGGAGGGAGAGATACATAAAAACAGCGTGCAAAGATTTCTATCTTGAAATGGCGTATTTTTGTTCATTCTATAAATTTTTTTATTAATTGTCTCAAATCTTTGGGATCAAAACAGCGCCACTTATAACAGCGCAAAAATCATCGCAAACTTGGGGTGTCTTAAGAACACTCAAGAAAAATTTGCCTGAGGCACGTGCTTCTCTAGCAAAAGAGGAAGAGTTATTTGAGAATCATGTTATGGGGTTTAACGCAAACGTTTTCGAGCAAAAGAGCAATGAAGAGGACTATAATCAGACAGTTGAAATTAGAACCGATACTGATAAAATTGTTATTTCATATAATAACACAATGAAATCGAAAACGTTCGCCACGTCAATATCAAAAATATTGCTGCATGTAGGGTGCACTATTATTGATATTGCAGTGCAGTCAACCTACAGCAATATCGAGCTTTTTAGCTCGTTTAGAATTACCCCTGATAACTTCCCTGCCAATAAGAAGGACCGCCCCCAATTTTCCTTAGAGACTTGGACCGTACTGAAGACCTAATTACATTCTTGGGCCGAAATCGCCAGTATAATGCAAAGGGAGCACAATAGGATTTTACGGAAGTCAGTAATTATTAAAACATCCTGCGTGCTTATCTAACTCAACAGTGCACTCGTCCTGCTTTTTTTTTTTTTTTTATATATATCTTTACGATCGAGGCTTGTATTTTTGAGCCAAAATATAGAAAACTAACTCTAATATGTTGCATTAAAAACCTTTAATATACTTACATGGTTTACGAATGTCATTAGGTGCAATGTGCACATCGTCTGTATCCGTTATAATGTCATGTAGCACTCCCTTCTTTTTCACAACTGATTTAACATATGCTGTCCTATCACAACCACGCACGCGATCGAAGTACCAGACCTGGTTACCACTTTCAATTTCCTCTAAGTAGGCCTGGTCGGGGATTTGAAATCTTTTTGTCCATTCTTTTTCCTTTTGGTAAGAAACTGCAGTGAACTTAGTGTCTCTGTACCCTTTCAAAATAATCTTGGAGTCCACTCGGAAGACCGTACTCCCACAGGAAAGCGAGCTAGGATCTCTCGTAACTTTATACAACATGTATTTCTCTGCAAAACACACACACGCACACACAAAATAGGTCCGTAATGCGTACACACAAACATGGTTCATGCGAAAGATCAAAACAAACAGGAAACCGAAGAAATTTTAAAATAAAAGAGGGACGCTGCCTGACCTATGTATATTAAGGTAATATAAAGACAAACAATGAAAACATGTGAGGAGGTTCAATACACAACTTCTTGGCCATATGGGACCGTTCATTTTTTTTAGTTATGGGGGAGGGGGGACAGTGGGATTTTTTTTGAACACCCATTACGAATTACCATGGCCCCCCTCTATCCTCATTTTCCCCATGGCTCTCCCCCCCCTTAAAAGATAATTCTTCATAAGTAACATTGTACGATATGATTTGTATTTTTTGTTCAATATAAAGCTAATCATAACTTATTCTACTGATCTAGTGCCCATGTAACTATGAACTTAAAAAACAAGTCCTGTATAATTGCTATGACATTTAAATTTTTACAAATTTACAAAGATTGCAAATACGTCACTTATTTATCCTCTGGTGATAGATCTTCCTCAGCATTTCGTAGCTGGTCTCTCGATGCATTTCTCGTAATCGATAAAAGCAAGAATGACATCGTATGTCGAGTCATCTTTCGTCCCAGAGTAGTGAAAATTGATGTAATGATGGAATCAGTGTCTGTCTCATCGTTACTATTGCTTTCACTTGTGCTGTACTCCTCTTCATCGACTGTCCCAGTCGTGTTTGCAGCATAAATGCATAAGGCCTTCAGGATTCATTAGGAGAGGCCAATGCCTCATAATGGCTTTCACTTTGTCTTTCTTAGTACTTTTGCTATGTTGGCCTAGTTTATAGCTTGAGGTACTTGTTCAGCTTTGCAGGTCAAAGCTGTTTTAGTTTTACAGAATCGTCACTCAGATTATTCAAAGAGAGCAAAATCATCATAAACTTCAGTTTTCTTTTTGTTTTTTGGCCCTCCTTTGCCCGCTGATCTGCTCTCTTATTCTTTTTTTAACTCCATCACCACAAGGTGCTGAAGGTAATCAACCACAGACGTTGCCTTCACAATTCCTTCTTTCGGAAAATGCAGCCTCACTTTCTCAATCTGACATAACCAAAACCGAATTTCCCTGCCAGGAATTCAGCTTAGGCCCAGTGATGGCAGGGACTTAAACTTTCTCGATCAAAGAGCACAGAAGTGTACGTGAGAAGCTGAACAGCCTTGGAAGCCTTGAAACATATGCTTTGTACACTTTTCTAGTCTGATGGACTTACCTTGAAGCAAGGAGAAGAATTTGCTCACGAGGTAAAAAATCAATTTACGAAAAATGAGGCTAGATTCCAGACTCCGTAGAAAAATATACACTGAACTTTTTAAATTAACCATAACATTTGGCTCCAATAAAAGCTCAGAAACTTCTAAAATTTCCGAACAAAGGGGTGATACGTTTGCGTGAAAGACAGCCAAAAATATCTGAAAAAGACTCCGAAAAACAAACAACATAAAAAGCCCAAATGTCCACGTCAAACGTCAATTTTCAATGTCGAGATTAGAGTTATTTGATGTGATTGACAAATTTTTTAAATCACATGCGCCGCGCGTGAATATAAAAAAAAGAAGGGGGTGGGGGTGGGTCAAATTGTAATTTGAAATCTAGAAAAGCCAAAGAGATTTTCTACACACTTCTTCATGCGTCGCGGCCAAGGTGCTAAAGGTATTGCAAGATAAGGAGACACTAGAAGGGTGTAGCGTAAATTTTTCTAGCACATTCAATAACCTAGAAAGGAATACACCAACAAGGCAAGAAAAAAAGAAAAGCGTCGAAAATCAGTTGAAAGGTAAAAGAAAAGGTTTGAAATCAACGTCTTACTTGCGGATAGTATTTGTGTCGGAAACTTGTTAGGCAATGATCTTCCAAAATATCTTTGTATCTCCCTGCCATATACCGTCCTTGGAGGGTGCATCGACGTTGAGAATGTTTCCGCATTGCAGTTTGGTCGAGTTGCAGCATACATCGCACAGCTCTTGCAAGGAATGCATTTCAGCGAACAATCAGGAAGCAGATTCATAATAAACCTCAAAGCAGAGGTTAGAGATAAAGTGTACAGCGCCACGTATCCTAAAGAATATGCCGTGGCTGAAAACGACAAAAGCAACGCTCACAGCAGCAAGTATGATGAGGGATAGCTTGACGATGGTGACGAGGAGGCAGATTAGCAGAGAGACGCTGTAAAGGACTAAGCCGATAAAGTTTCTTTTCATAGCTGTACCCTGGCTTTGAAAATTGTTGGTATTTTTAGTGTTAACAACTGAGTTGAAAACGTAAATTGGCCACCATAAAGGGTAAAAAAGCTGATGTTTCGAGCGTTAGCCCTTCGTTAGAGCGATTGAAGACATGGTGGGTTGCAAATAATTAGAATCATTATCTTGTAACAGAAGATTTGGAAACGATTGAATATAGAAAGTTCGGATATTGTGGCGATCGCAAATAAACGCAAAAAATCGGAAAGATACTGTCCTATTGATTGTCGAACCAGCACTCCGCAGAGATTTTCCCTAACGCCGTGGAGAATTCTGCAACATCTTTTGCAAAAGAGAAAGTTCAGCTTTATTGGAGCACACATGCCTAACCAACCATAAAATTGGGAGGGATAAGTCCAAAATTATCACCATTGATCGGTGTTACCACCAGCGCCTTTGTTTGGAAGCCTGGCATATTAATCCGCACACGCTCCTTTAAATCGTGATGATGGCGGCTTACTTCCTGACGCCTATTTACACCTCGTCAGAAAAAAGGCAGCTAATTATTGATCGTATAAAAGGACCTCTTGTTGCGATGTTTAGATCACCCCTAATGAAGGCACTAGACAGGAGTGTCGAAACGTTGGGTCCATGAATTGTAACTTTTCGGTTACATTCATTTTATCTTTAAACCAGAGTAGCATCAAACCATGTCTGGTTTAGAAACCTTTTGTTTCTTTTCCTATTTGTATCTTTATTTAAATAATAAGAACCATATATACTCTGCAATTACTAAAATATTTCGCGTAACCTCCTTTCTCCATTTTTTTCGATGCCTCCCACCCTCTTTGAAGCCATTTTTTCCCCGAGACCCCCCTCCCCCCCTTCAGATCCCATTGAACTCTCTTACCCCGTAAGAAAAAGAACGGTCCCTAATAGGATCGTAACACATGGCAATGAATTGAAAAACAAAAATACTTACTACACAAAGCATTAAAAAAAGGAAAAATTTGTTTGACTGTGAACTTTCGAGGTTTATCTTCATCAAAGATCTCTATCAAATAGTGCTCTCCAGAGGCGCTTGATATCCCATGTACGCGACCTGATTTGTAAGTACGTCCAACCTCAATGAGAACGCATGCGTTAACTCTCAGCTCTCCTTCTAACGGCACCATGGCTGGAATAATCTGGAATGAATAGGTGTGTTTCAGTAACAATCTCAACCATACTCGTACAAAAAATTTCAGCCTACTCATTGGCACCGGGCAAGTCTTAAAGTTCCAAACAGTACATGATTTAAAAAATCGGGCACGAAAAGAGGACATCGAAGGAAACGCGTATTAGCTATTTGCATAACGTGGCCATAAAATTCATATCTCCAATTGATAACCAAATAGTTTTACGAACACGTTTTAGGGAAAACATGAGTACTCGAAAAACCGCAGAATTTTTCTGTGGTTAAATAAGAGTAGAACAATGAAAATGCTTTTCCGGGAACGTATGAAGTGTCTGCAATTCCTCAATAGCAGGAGTTGTCTACATTTATTTGTATTTTCTGACCACGGATTACTTGAACTTCTGTTCGTAGGAGATAGGTAAAGTGAGAGTTGCCTGCAAAGATTTCAACCATTAGGAGGGACCAATCATTGTATTATTGTTTATCGCCTGTAGGAGCAGGAGGGAAGAGAGATCGGAGGAGGAAGATTAAGGTTTTGTCACAATAAAATTCAGCTGATCCCCTTTTAAGGCTATGCAACATAATGATCCCCCGTCCCTTATTTATTCCCTGATGACCAAGCCGCCCCCCTTAAAATCACCCCCTCCCTACCCCACCCCCGTTCGGGGATAAAAAATTACTTGTCCCCTATTAAAAAAAGAAAATCTCAAAATACCTCTCCAAGCTGCGTAGTTTCGATTGTTTTTCCGCTTTTCACTTCTACCTTTAAACCCCCATCGTGCACTCGGCTCACGGAATCTCGACGGTAGTTCACTTCTGATGTCATGGCATCAGGCTTGAACAGAGGGAGAAATACATCCATACCCTTGGCTAAATACAAATCACAGCAAATCTTATTGTGTGAAGAAAATTGGACGAAATATTTACCTCTTACTAGCCGAGTTTAATATCTGTTCTGCAAGTTACCAACTGAGTTTTTTCCGCTCAGATTTATGACCCAAGCGCGAAATGCATAAATCAGGTCTCTCCCATTTCCTCTCTCATTAGTCAAAGTTTTCATCCGCAAACTTTTTTCAAATAAAACCCCTTTCCTTTTGACATATATTAAGACAAATTTTCAATCTCTTGTCATGAACGGCGAAAACCTACGCAGGAAAATGGTTAGTTCAGCGAAAAAAAATCATCTTTTGTAAATTATTTTTACCGCTTGACAGGTAGTTCTCATATGCCTTTAAATCGTACTGCAAAAGAGATTTGTACGAAGTTCATTAGGAATGCAATTCTGCATTCATCTTTTGCTATTTCTGTAACAAGAATAGGTGTTTCTTAAGTCTGGAACGGCCGTACTATTTGGAACTCTGGGATTCACTATACTCGACAAACATAGTATTCGGTTCTTCTTGGCACGCACCTTTGTTCCTAGCGAGCCGCATAAACAAAAGGAAAATTTTAATTAATCGTGCCATCAGACACGCCACTGCTCAGAGGCCGCCGCTTCATTTCACTCTATGCCTGTTGTTTAACGTGTCATTTTCATGTGCGTTCACTTCAGTGCACGTTTCCCGTCGAGGGTCACACGATCATACACCGCGTTTCTATCATCAAAAACAAAATAAAACGGAATACTTACCAAAAGCATATCCATAGACTTCTACCTTCATGCATATCCTCTTCTCGCTAGCTACTGGATATATTCTGACATATTGCCCAAGTTTTCGTTCTTTCGCTTCGCTGTAGACCGGCTTCGCACTGGCTGATGTGCTTCCGTAAAATTCCGGCTGCGGCGAAAACAAAAAATACGTTGAAACATCATAGTCGGGAGGTCAGTAGTTCTACTTTTCTACTTTTTCAAATTCGATCTCCACAATTAGGCATCTTTAAGTGAAAAAAAGGAAAAGGGAAACTCAAGAAAATAAGTCAGGCAAAAACCACACCTTTATGAAATTCCAGTCGTCCCAATAGTCCTTTTCAGGTGATACCTGGACCCTGTATCTTGTTACCCAGCTGGGGTGTGGCCCCATAGCGACACAGCCTTGGATTTCAAATCCACAAACAAGATGCATAGCACCCAGGTTTACTTGAAAATATGGAAAAAACTCCTTGTACCCTGATTTTGGGGCCCAACCCGTGAGGTAAAGTCGGCCATAAGCCGCGGGAAAATGCGGGTCTTGGCTCGAGGCTGTCAGTCGATTATTTGGTATCGTGATATTTGTCCGCGAAATTCCGAGTGGTGAGCCACATCCTAGAAATTCGGCCAAAGAAACCAGCTTTTGCAACTTTTACAACTTTCAGAGAAGGCAAAAAGTTATCAGAAAATATTCCAAAAGAGTAAATTGTAACTTACGAGAGGCTTCAGTAGATAAAGCAATGCACAAAAACGAAAGCAGGAGAAAAACGACGAAGAAAGTTCCTCTCCTCATCGTCGCTTAGCCGTGACACACAAAATCTGATCAATGTCAAGCACTGTGTCGTCATAATGAATAAGGGTTCCAAAGTGAGCCCGCACGCACGTCAGAATTTTTCGTAGTAAAGACCATCATGAAGCTGACTTTTTTTTCAACTTTGAGTGGCCATATCCTCATAAAGGAAAACGAATTCACGCTGCTGCAGAAATGAACAAATAGTAACAAAATTGTAATAAAAGTTTACGAATGTAATTGGTAATCATCAGTCCAAGTTGAGCACTAATAGCAAAATATATGCCTCGCCTTTGTAACTGAACAAGATAATAAAAAAGTTTACATAGCGTGCGCATGAGTAGTTAATGGGACACGCGGTGGTCGAACGTTAGCGAGAGATCTGCGTTCGAGATCTGGCCGAGTAAGACACTTAAAACTCTCCACCCAGGAGTTTAAAAGAGTACAGGCGAACTGATAAGGTAATCAGACAAAACGCTGAGCGGTAAAAAGCGATTGAACGGCATTCAGGGGGAGGAGCGATATTCTTAGTCGCTTCATACTTCATGTCGCTGGAATTGACATTCCAATCTCGGCAATCTGATACACAAAGAATGCGTGGATCATCTTGAAGTCACAAAGACGACTAGATACCAGTCTCCCAGCGCACAATGACATTCTATAATAAACAAATAGTCGGGAGGCCGCGTCTTCAGTGATTCCAATATCTTCACAATATCGCACCTAAGAATCAGCATACACAGGCATCCAGTCTCATTTAGTCCATTTTGGACTTTTTAACAAAAGAAAGCTTATTTAATTTCAGTAACGAGAATAGTATCAGAGATATCGTTGGTGCCATTCATGCCCCGTGCCCCATTGATTAAAACCCCCCTCTTAGCCTTAATAGTTCTCATTAGCCTCCCCCTCCTTCCCCAAACGAGCCCCCCTCCCCTTAAAAAAAAGGGGAAACCAAAAATTTTCATTTGGGCTTGGTAACGTTTCACTTCAAAATATAGTTGTATTTCAATACGAGTATATTTTCTGGTAGAAATTGGTAGACATAGAATGTGTTTACTTTTTCGAAGGCACACAGTCGACCTGACACCAGTCTCCCCGCGTATGAAGCGATTCCATAATACACAAAGAGTCTGGAGGCTGCACCAGCTTGAATTCCAAATTCCTCGCAATATTTCACCTAAAAACAAATAGCAGGATTGAAAATCAAGGTAATATTAAACAGACACGACTGTTATTGATACAGGAGATGTAAACTTGTCTGGGATTATTAAGCTAATCTGACAAAATACACCTGTCATTCTCCTCCATCGCGAAAACTTTTTTTGCATCAACATCTCTCACCCCTCCCATAAAATTAAAATTATCAAATGAATCTGTGGTACATAATGAGTGAACATCATGACAGTCGCCACAAATTTCGGTTCTTTCCACACTGCTATGTACACAAGCATCCTGACTTGTTCTGCTGCTCCTGAGTCTCTCTCATAATTCCATCCTCCCCTGTCCTTCTTTTGGGTTCTCCCCGCCACTGGTTATTTCAGCGTCCTTTTCAGCCACATTTTTGTCAATATCAGGTATCTGTACATTGAGGCTATAAGTAAAACCAGACAGGCGCAATACTGGAACCACGCCGGCCATTATTTTGTAGGTGTTCTGCCAGCCAAGGGTGGCTATCATGGTCTGCAAAAGGGGACTTAGAATAAGGACCCCCCATCCTTGACCACACATTACAATCCCAGTGACCATTGAGCGCCACTTGTTGAAGTACCTGTTAATGATATTGAGGCTTGCAGAGAACACACAAGTTGTGCCCTAGCCATAGAGCACACTATAGGTGAGAAACAGTACGTTAATGTTTCTTGCCAGAGAGGAAAGGCCAAGGTTCAGTGTGCACAAGAACCCTCCAAATAGGGTGGTGACATGGCAGCCAAATCGCCTGACAAGAACTCCAGACGCATGTCCACTGAAAAAGATGATAGCAATGGCCAGAGAACCTACCAAGCTGACGAAAAAAAAGGAAAAGAAAAAGACGGGAAAGCACATAAAGCATATTATTTCCTATTACTCCACCCCACGGTATATCAGTTCTCATCATTGATGGGAGAAACTCTTTTTCTTCATGTGAACCCTGTACAGTAACATGATTTCCCCAATTTATGATAGGGTCGCGCTCGGATCGCGGTGGGATCGCGTCTAAACCGCATTTGGGTCACTACGGTCGTCTTTCACCGAGATAAAAATGTGCAGTCTGTCATCGTACACCCCAAATACCTTTCTTATTAGGAGTTTTTAATTCCTTCAATTTCGCTCTCTGATTAGGCTCCGAACAAAATTTTGCTCACAATTGGAGATTATAGATTCTAAAGAGAGTGTCAGTTTTCTTGATCGATCGACCACACTGTTTTGATACCCTGAAATCTGTAAGTCACATAAAATATTTACATTTATAACTCAGTTTCCTTAGCCGTTTTCTCTCTTTTATCCTGAAAATAATTAATAACCACAGGAAAGAAAATTCCAACGCTAAAAATAAATCCCAGTGCAGCCAGCCAAGAGAGTGTCGCAGATATGCAAACAATCCACGATCCTGCACGTAAATTTGAGGTATGATTTTCGCGGAAGTTGACCCACAGTAGTTACAAAATGATTCTTTTTGTGAAAATGACCACAGTATCTCTGAATCTGAGAGGTAAAATATAAAAATATTTGATATTCCCTTGGTTTTCTGTGTGATACCACTTTTAAAATCGTTTAATCTCTTATGTTGTCCTGTTTAAATCTATTGTTGGTACTCGAGAAATCATTTTCAAACGAAAAGTAGTACATCTTGAAAAGATGAAATAAAGAGAAAGCATCAAACCCCCTCATGATTTTACGCGATCTGCGATCAGGAATCCGTATTCGACCCTAATAAAGTATGTTTTTCGGCGAATAATCTTCATCTGACCCGGCTGGAATGTCAAAATATTTTGCTCCCTTTCAACATGTTGACAGCTACGCTTGATTAAGAAAGCAAGCTGTCTAAATATATCCGGTCACGTAACTCTCCCTACGAGCTGCGTTGCGTGACAGCTTTATGAACGCGTTTCGCAAGTACTTGGCTTTAGTCCATTAATACAAGTACTTTCAAGTGAGAAATTGCCTCGTAACATTCCAAAGACGCGGGAGACGAAGAATGAAATTCTAATGGAGGCGCTAGCCGAAGCCACTACTTGTTCACGTTTGATTTAACTGCTAAAATGATAGTTCAAACAAGCTGCCATTTTTTGCAATTTAGTTTATATCAAATAAACTCGAGTAAATGCTTTTATTTGAGTAAAGAACCTCCTATCGTTACACATGGAGACCACGCATCAGGTGACACCTGGATATCGAGGGCGGGTGGTTAGAGAATACACGCGAGGAAGTACCATGAGGGGAATTATTGGTGTGCCACATTTACACCTTTTGCTGTTCATTTACGCAAAATGTACATTCATTTACGTCAGCAGTTGAAACTATACGGCAAATATACATTCATTAGCACATCCATGAACTTCATTAACGCGGACGAATTTTCAAGAACGCTATTTGCAAATATATTAACATTCAATAGCATCAACGTGTGCCGTCATAAATGAAAATCACATGATCATTTAGGTCGAGATTTAGCCTTGCCTGTGACAGTCTTTCTTTTGCTACTTTACGGTCATGGATTGTTGGTTTTCTTGGAAGACGCTGTCTCAATTCTTGATTTATCTGTGCTAGTGCTAGCAGGCAATTTTCGTTTAAAATATCATTCAGGCAATTCCTCATTTCATCATCTACTCGAACATGATTTGCTCCTCCTCGTGGTCTCTCCGCGATCCTTCACTCTCGCAAGCATCGTGCTACGATACTTCTTGCCGTTGTTCGGTTTACTACGATAGTAGCGGCAAACGTCAAATAATCTTCATTAACATCTTCGAAGGCTTGAATAATTCTTTGTCGCTGTTCAAGTAGGATTCTGTTTCTTGGTGGCATGATTTTCTTCGGTTGTATCTGTCTCTAATGCGTCTACTCGTTCATACAGTTTACTCTGTTTCTTACAGTGTACTGTACATGTCAAATCTTTATTTTATTTCTGCTTCAGCAAAATATTGTGCAAAAAGACACAAAATTTAAATGATAATGTACATACTCTTGTATTTTTGGTCAGTATTTTAAAATACATGTACCTACGATGAATAACACTGATGAATATTTTTTCCTTCTATTGTTTATTCGAAAAACACCAATGTTTGTCAGTTCACGTTAATGATTGACCATTTTGAATAAACGATTGTATGAAGGTGCAATTGATTGTGCGTCTCTGTGCAAATTGTATTTTTGTCTCTAATACGCAATTGATTGTCATACTATGCAATTGATTTTCTATTGGTGTTAATGATCGACCATTGCGCGATATTGAAAGTATATTTGTTAAGCTTGATTGTCCGAAGGTGCAATTGTTCATCCGTTGATGCTAAAAAAACTTAGGACCCCGTCGGGGCATTAGAACGATGAGGGGACTTTACAGCTCAGACTAAACGTCAAGTGACGACACAAAAGATAAGACAAGGTTATTCCTTTTCTGGTTAAGCAATTTATTTGACCTTACAAAGCCACTTAAGAACTGGTACCGGCCAAGTCAAATAGTTACTCAGCCTTTTTGCAAGGTTACAGAAGTCACTTGGTTAGACATACCAATAAGCAACCAAGCAGACATTGAGTTTCATTTTTATCTAAATATTTCTATTTTGAAGGGGTGGGAATATAAAGAATATCAAATATTATGTTAGATTTTATTTTTTTTCTTCTCCTTCTATGGAAGTATGTCTGTTTATTTGATTGTCAAAAGAGAAGTCGGTAAAATCAGATGAAAAAATAATTTAATTTTGCTGAGCAAGCTAATCGACGATGATGTGAATTTTCGTCCAAGACAGAGAGTAACTAAACCCCTTTAACAACCCCTTAACTATACCAAATCAAAAGCACGCAACTTC